ATCCTAGGGCCATGTATTAGGCGGTATTTACTGGAGGGACTGATCTGTGGAGTTCAGGAAGGGGCACTCTGCCATTTGCAGGTGGAAATGGTAAAAGTCTTTGAAATACTTTAATGTGCTCTGAAATTGCGTATTAATAGGGAAGCTGAAAAAAGAAACACTTCTCATTAAATAGAAGAAAATACATTAGGTGATGCGTAATGCATGTGCGCACACATATTTTTGAGTTTTGACTCCCAAGGAATATATACATATATATGTAAAATATACGTTTATGCACACATTCTCTTTTCTTATGTTTTTTTATGACTATTCATAAATTTTTCCTTTTTAGAGTATACCCAGGCACTCCCAGGACCATTTCTCTTTGTGAAGGAATCAGGCAGTGCTGTGGAATTACATCTAATGTAGCCTTGAGTATTTATTCCTATTGTTGTCAACACAACATACACAAACTCTTTTGGGCTGCCAGCTCTCATCTCTTACATCAAGGAAATTGAATCATGTACCTTGGCCTAAAAAATTAACGTGGCTTTGGCCTAAAAAATTAACATGGCTTGCATAAATATATTTGATGATGTCCTTGAGCTTCCTGGTGAGACGAAGACAAACATAAAGCAGCAGGAACGGCGTGTACATCTTTTTTTTTTTTTTTTTTAAATGCCATGGCATCGGTGACCATTTGTACTTAGCTGAAATTGCAGCACTGGATCCTATCAGCACACTAAACAAATAAACAGATGGTTGTGTGTGCAGTTGAACTAATGGAGCCATGTTTCCTATCAGGTTATATCTTGTAGTTCAATTCCCTCACATCTAATAAAATGTAAGCTCTGCTTTAGCTTTTCCTGTCCTTGCAAAATGCTCTTCTCCTGTGTGGATTCTCAGCTGTGTAACAAGGGGTGAGCAATCTTCCCCATAGTGGGGGTACTAATTCAGGGATTTCTCCTTTAAAAGATCAACTAATTCGAAGAAACTTGTCAGAAGTTATTTTCTCTGTTGAATTTGACTGAGATTGGCCAGAGATTCAAAAGTACTGGAGAGGATGCAGAGGTACAGTTACACTTGCACACACACGGACATGAAGGCAGCACAGCTATAATAACTGTTCTCCTCTGGGAACTACGCTAAGCAGTGTATCTTTATTTGAAGAAAACAGAAGAGATGAGTGTGCTATTACCCATCTCCTTTTAACTCCAATTTATTAATTTTTCATTAAGGACACTGGACAACTGTTCAGGGCAAGAGCAGCAGAGAATATTGACAAGTCTGACAGTGAATGCTTCCCCTCCCTATGAGGCAAGATACAATTTTGTTTATTTTTCTAGCAAAAGATTCAGGAGAATTCAATACAACTTGACAGAACAGAAGGATTCTGGCAGGCTGGTTGCAAGTCTGGTCAAAGGTATTTAAGCTTTCACAATATTTGGTGATTTATTAACAAGGTTTGATTATACGCTTACAAGACAACTGCTGAAGTAGTAAGTATGAAGTGTTACTAACACATTAAAAGTTTCTGTATTTGTTACAAGCAGTAGATTAATCTCTAGTTGGGGGGACATTTCAGGAAGAACAGCATACCACGAAAGAAAATTTGCAGATGAATTGCAGCTAAAGAATTTTATGTCAATTGTAAAATACAATTGACATACAATCTGTATGCCTTCCATACAGAAATGAAAACACCAGTAAGTTAAGCTACATCTTGGCTGGAAATAGCATGCATCCGTTACTGACAAGGCAATGGTTCTCTCACCCATTGAACATGATTGCTCAATAATAAGCTAACTTTTCTAACATGACACAAAAATACTGTCCAAGTTCAACATTTCCCAAAAGGTCAGTTAAACTACATGGCCTGGCTTTACACAAATAGTTCTGTAAGAAGGCTGGTGCCCTGTGCAGGTGTGTCAGCATTGCAGCTCTGGTGTGCTGAGCTCGTCCCGAACATCTGCCTGGGGCTGCAGGTGGAGGGAGGCAGGATGTTCACAGGGTCTTGCCACCCCAGAGCTGCTGACCTTCCTGAAACTTGTTGGAACTTCAGTGTCTTGACATCTTTCTTCTGTCAAAATTGGCTTGAAATTAAGCTACCGGTTCAGGAGCTGCTACTGGGTGGAGAAAGTGTCATGGTATTGCCTGACAGAGGGACAGCACACGGACAACCTGGGGACATAAACTTTGTCTTCTTGGGAACTAAGGCTAAAAATACACTAAAAATACTAAAAATACTCAGGGCTAACCATTTTATAACAGATGGTCGTCTGGACTTGGATGTTTTTTAGGACTTCGGGTACAAAGTTTCTTTTGAACTAGGAAAAAAATCCACGTGCAGAAGAACAGCACTTTTCTAAAAAACAGTTCCTTTCAGTTTTTTAGAACATGTCAGATTTAGGCCAATTTAATTGTGCCAAATCTAGGTAAATGCACGTTTAGTTTCCCAGCTTGGAAAGCTCTTGTGTTCCGGCAGGTTTCTACATGCATGCAGTAACTGCTATGCTTCCGCGCTGCTCTGCCTGGGTAAAATGGCCACAGGTGAAAAGCAAATAAGGAGTTTGGAGCCAGACAGGTGACCTGATTTTCACAGTTGCTACGCATCCAGGCAGTTGTAGACAGCAGTTCTCCTGGGCCATTATTTTTGAAAACAGGCCCGCTTGTCTAAGGCCCGCAGGCTGAGACAGCCATTTTGGAAAATCTTTGAAAAAACTCACTTAGGTTTTTGCATCCATAATCTTTTGTTTCCGCTTTATGCTGTGTTCGCCCTCCAATTAATTGTCTTTTTAAAATCCTTTCCTGTTTTAATTGCCTTATAGAAAGATTTTTGGCAGATGGTATTGAAAAGAGAAAATAAAAATAAAGGTTCTCCAACAAATTTTTATTGATGTTCCTGAACATTTGAAATACCATCAGCATGGAGGTTCATGTAGTCCTGTTCCATTTTAAAACACTGATGGATTTATGTAACTTAAAACACTTACAGTGAAATTTGTTCTTTAAAATAATTTTATTTTAGTAAAGTTTCCATAAAATTGAAGAGATTACCATCCTCAGTTTAAAAATCTGAAATTACAAACATATGAACAGATTATACTTTTTTGTAACTAGAAAAACAGTAGAACACTGAAACAGTATTCATTTTTCCATCCACAAATTTCTACCTTTCTCTCAGGTTGTATTTTGGTCTCACGTAAGGCTAGTTTCATCCTCAGGTTCTTAATGAAGAATTAGTTAGCAGCTGTAGTTATTTTAAAGGAAGTCTTTGAAGATAAATAGAGATTAGACTGATTTACATTTGCTAATTTGCAGTAAGACTGAAAGTTCTTGAGTTCTTGGTACCTGTGTAAGGTACTTTTTTTTTTTTAAACAGCATTTTGTTCACTTTTTAAAGGTAATTAGTATTTTTTTAAGAACTACATTGTGTTCCTTTGTTTCTGAGTG